ATCTACAAAGAAAGAAAAGAAAATGAAGAGAAGAAATAAAACTTCATTTGTTTTTCCATCAAAGAGTTTTCCTTCAAATTGCAAAGTGGGTCTTATACCCAGTCATACTTTTCCAAGTTAAATCTTCTGAGACTTTGAAATTGGGAAAATGTTGAAATGTCTTGAAATATTTCTCCCTGGAGTAAAGCCATCTGATCTGCTCTTGCTGTCTGTGTGTAGCAGGATGTCACCACACAATCCCACAAGGCTGTGGTTTCACATGCAGCAGATAACCTCACACACAGTACAAATGTCACGTATTTCATTCTCTGCATTAGGGAGAGCCAGCTTACAGGAAGGGAGAGAATCTGCTAGCAGGCACCCAGAAGAAACATGTATTTTGATCACATTTCAAATTCTGGTGCTGCCATAAATGTACCAAGCAGGAAACAACCTTTACTTCTGACAGCACTCAAAAATGAGCCGGAGAATAAATTCCAGTGTTGTCACATTATTGCCAAGTAGAACTCTTGAATTTAAGGCCAATACAGATGACATCCAAACCATCGTTTCCTCTGTAGAGTCCTCAATCTTTTTCCACCAGGAAAGACAGACCAAACTCCTGCCCAGCCTGTCCAGGGGAGCCCATCCTGTGCATGGGGCTCCAGGTGCTGGGTCTGCATCTGCTCTCACTGYCTCAGCTGAGCACCTTGCACACCCCTCGCTGCCTCCTTGTCCTCTTCTGAAAGGACTCCCAAGGAACCAGAGWGGAGAAATGAGCAGAAGCCCAAAAGGAGGCCCAGAATCCGAAAGCTCAGGAGGCTTTTGATCAAGTTGGTCACCTCCAGCAGCAAAAACACCCCTTTTCACTTCCCTGAGACCACTGAGGATATAAGGGAATGAATCTTGATTTTTGCCTCAACAACTGCACCATAATATTAAGCTTTTTCTGGAAATTAAGTGTTCAGGACTGAACTCTCACTTGAGAGGGTCTGTAAAGCACCTCTAGGCTTTATCAGAAGCAGAGATTTGCCCCAAGCAGACTATAACCTCTTACAGCACCATGAAACATGGAGCTCCCACCCCTTTGCCAGCCCTTACTCACAAGTTGATGGTGCCCGTGGTGAGAGCGGTGACGACCCAGCGCAGGTCCAGGGTTTTGAAGGGGATCAGGATCATGCTCACATTTGCTGCCAGCTCTTTGTAGCTCTCAGGGTAAACAAAGTGGTGAGTGGTCTTGCTCCCAACATCTGATTCGTAGCCAGCAGTGGGGGCACGGTTCATTCTGCAGCCCAAAAGTAAGAATTGAGACAGGAGAGGAATTAGACAAATACAAACACATGGGAATCTTCACTAAGGCATTGGCTTGAGGTGCTAAGGGAGTGCTGTATGTAGTCTTGACAGGGTATAGGGGTCCTCAGGCTGCAATGATCACCACCATGTGATTAAACAGTAAATGAAAGCTCAGCTTTAGTGTGGAATTCCTTACACTGAACAGGAGTGTCTACCATGCAGRTGTATCTCTGAGCACATCCCTGGGCTCCCTTTTCAGTCATTAAAAGAGTGCTGAGTGCACGAGGACACATCTCCCTTCATCCTAAAGCTGCATCCTCCAGCTGGTGAGAAAAACATTGCCCTGAAGTGCCCCAGCTTTCCCTCCTGCAGTTCCACTCCCCATTATCAACACAGGTGGATTTGAATGTCCAGGATCAAGGTAATAAACCACGTTATGTGTGATGAGAAGCAGCAARTATTCCTTAKGGTTCTCCCMTGAAAAGGCACCACAGCYACAGTGACAGGACCTGCTGCTGATYCTTCATTTACTCAAACCTCACTTCTGCTTTCCAGTGTATCCTGCAGGGTCCAAAGRTACTCAGGGTCACTCTGCACACATCTGGGTTTAGGAAACCCAGGGGTCAGTGCAGGGACATCTGCCCAGGGCCACCAGGGCCACCAGGGCTCAGTCAAGACATGCTGGCCACACAAGGCTACCCCACTTATGSTGGATGTATCCAAGATTAATGGAATTACGGGGTATTTTGAGTTGGAAGGGACCCTGAGGGATCACCAAGTTCAATTCCAAAGTGAGTGGCCCATACAGGGAACAGAGAGGCTGTACCTGAACTCAGGACTGCAGAAATGCCTCTCTATGCCTGTGTTCACTTCTGAAAGCCAATCTGGGAGCACATCAGCAATTCCTTCCCTCATGCTTCAGCTCCTCAATGGCAGAGATTTGCATATTTCTGTGGTGCAGCACAGTGCACATTAGAGAYCCCCAAAGCAACTTGCATGAATCCATGGTGCTGTGCAATACCATGGAGAAACCCTTCAGCTGTCTCTGAGTAGAAAGGGTTTTTTCTGCAATGACATTAGCTCAGCTCCTGGCAGAAGCACAGGGAGGACAAGGAAGGATGAAGCTGATGAGGTAATGAGGAGCATCATACACTGCCAAMAACATGCTGCCCTGGTTGCTGGTAACAGGAGAGGCAAAATCTGTTTATCAAGTCTGTGCCAGGCTGTGTTATTKCAGTTCTCCCCCAGGTGAATCACTTAAATTTCTTCTAACTCCCTTCAAGGGAATTGTTAGCACAGTCAGAATATCCTGCCAGCCTGCGTGGATTTGTTACTGAGTTTCCTGTTACTGGCTTCCCACAYTGTACTGAGTGAAAATTCTGGGAAAGCACGATACTTTCTCTGTTTAATCTTGAGATTAGTCAGTTCAAGGTATAAAATATGGGGGGTTCACTCCACCAAGACAAAGACAAGGGTGACACCGTGGTTATCTTACAACCTGCCCTCAGGTCCATGGACCTTTCCCACCACCCRTGGCGGGGCAGAAGGCAGAATTCACACCGAGTCTCAGCAGGAAGGACTGAGCAGGAACTCCCTTCTGTCATGGAAGCAGACAGTTACACAAAYAAAAGTGGGCTGGAACACGGTGTTTGGCTCTCTGTCTCTCCCCTGCCCTTGCCTCTATTCCCAGAGCACATGGCAGTGAATTTCAGGTCRCCAGAGATTTTGTGTTTGACGCATAGCGGGGTCACCTTCTCCACAAAATCCCCATGGTGAATCCTAAAACCTCATGCAATCCTTTCAGACATGGTTTAAGATTGYTGAAATGCAAATCTGAGACTGGAAGGTTCGATTTCACTGCTCAATTTCACCAGTTTTGCCCTTGCCAGGGATGAATGGTGATGGGATGAGCAAAGCCTGGAGCAGAAACACCTGAGTGTTACTCGTTAGTTACTATTACCAGCTTCTGAGTCTAGCAAAGCCTTTTCTGATTGAATTTGGAAACATAGCCCAGGCAAGATAAGAAAGTTCACACAGTCTCCACAGGGAGGGACACAGACTTAAACATAAATGCACCACAGCTGTCCCACMTTTGCAACATGTAGGAATATTGTTGAAGGCTCTCCCCAACCCTTCATGAATTTGAAGGCCAGGYTGGCTGCCTCTGCCTTTGGGGAGCTACTTTTGGCAGGGACCAAGAGATGCAGCTGCAGGAAGCAGCTTGTGAAATGATTTGTGAAGATTTAGATGTCACTTGAAGACTCTATGCCATGTTCAAGCAACATCAGAAGCCGAGGGGCTTAACAGTTCAAACAGAGTTGATCTTCTGTTGATTTATTCTTGACTTCAGTGCACAGCTTCCTACTAAAGGTTTTGTTGCTTCTGAGAATATAATCCCACATGTGGCATTTTCAGTAGCAATCCTTCCCTTCCTGCCCTTTATTGCTCTCCCAATTGTACTGTACTGGCAGCTGTGGTGTGAAAGGCAGATGACACATTTGGAGATGAACTTAGCGCAAATATTTTGGCTGCCCTCTGGATGATAAGCTCTGCTTAGCTRGTTCCTGCTTGTCCTTCAGTGGGACAAGGAAGAGGCAATGTGATCCTTTACAAATTACCTGCAGCCCAAGAGTTGATTCCTGTCCACTGAAAAGTGGCTTTGTCTTTCCCACCCACCATTTCTTAAAAATGAACCCRTGCAAAAAAGTCAATCTAACACAGTCACTTAAATGTCTAAAAGATCACTTGTGAGCACTCGCTGCAGAAATGACTTTTACTTGTAAGGGAAAATCTTTTTTTCTCCTATATTTTTTAACACAGGCAATTATGGATTGTGCAGAATAAGCTACAGTATCAATACCTATTAATGTTTTTTTACTCAAGCTAAAACATGTGATCATATCTCCAGCACACATAGTTTATATCTCTGGAACTCTGACTTAAGTACCAGGTTTCACTAAATACACCTTGAAACCTTGTTTTCTCCCTCAAATACCAGTGAAGTTTAGACACAAAAGCATCTGTAGCTGGGTGKTTTTCACTCACCTGAGCACAAAGTCGTGTGAGTCAATGTCTTGGCCGTACTGAGATTGCCGGAGGTTGCCGGAGTTGCCCACCACGGCGCAGCGCCTGCAGCTGTAGCTGCCTCGCTCCTGCAGCGGATCCCCGTCCCCGGGAATGACCCCAAACAGCTCTGTCAGAGTGGCATTCAGGCTCTTTGGAGCTTTCTCTCCTTGCAGTTTCTGTTAGGGAGAGATCACTCCAGGTTACCAACACATATGAAGCTTTTCCGTGAGCTAGAGGCAGCTTTAAATGTTTCCTCGAAGATCATTCCTGCATTGCCTGCAGGTATTGCCTTCCTGTAGCGCAAGGCTTTGGGTTGGGAGCCAAAGTGTGAAAAAAATCAAGTGGAAAACCCCTTAACTTTTTAAACTTGGCTTCCTCCTTCTCCTCAGATTCCCAGTCTCTATCACAATCTCTAACCCAGATTTCCTCAGTCTCTAGCTATGATACAACAGATGAAGCATCTTCCCCAAGGCTGGCCTCAGCAGAATAAATGTTCCTCTGATGTCCATAAGTCCAAACCCACCCTGGGTCAGGTATCTTCTATTAGGTCACGTTTAGATTTCTTTTAACTCTCCTAAAAAGGACAGAAAACTCTCAGGGGAACTGATGGAAAAYAGAAGTGGCTGATATCCCTTCCACAAATTTTGGCATATGACAGAAGTGGGAGAGGGAGATGGGAAGTGAACTGTGGAGGAACCAGCTGCTCAAGCAATAGCAAACAACAGCAGACTTAGCCCTGRGGGCTGGATATGTAAAATCATCAAAAAAAMCCCTCCAGGATGAAGAAAACCACCCGGATCTTGGYCATTGTGCCTGTTGCCATGGATGGAAACTGCTGAGGAGCAGCTCTGTGGTGCATGGTGGAAACAATGGCTGGATTTGAAGGTGCAGGCAGGGAGCAGGGCAGGCGATGGGCAGACACTCCCTCTCTGGAGCTCAGCTCCCTGAGATTTGCTGAAGAGGTTGGGAGCTGGCAGGCTCACAAAGAGCACTGCCCACTCTYGTGGGGCCATTCCCTTCCAAAGTCATAAAGGGAGAACGGCTCCAGCACAAAATGGGCCAAAAAGGGCCTTGTTCTGCCAGCCCAGGGCATGGAAAGGCAGGGAGGGACAGAGGAGGAATACCTTTTCCCACRACTCCCAGGAATGGGATAATTTGGCTTTAGTTTCCAATGTGTTTCCCTTGACTGCACCGGGAACTTTGTTAATTTGTCCTGCTATCTCCCTCTCTCACACAAACACAAACAGGTGCAGAACTGTAATTTTTGTTTAAATTCCGTGCTGTCTTTTTGCAGGACCTTATCTGCACTGAAATTAACAACAGGTCTCTGGAGCTCAGAGCTACAAGATGACATTAAGAGCTTGAAAAAATAGAAGACAAAGAAATGTTGCATACACAGACTTAATCTTACCACTAATCCTTCCTAATCTATACACAAGGTGTATATGGACTGCACAAGGTGATTGGGATGCAAGGTAATTAGGGTGCCCAGACAAGCACTGTAATTATGACCATGTACATCAGTGGATGGCTCAATTATATGAATAAAAAAAGTCATCTTTTAAGTTTGTGTATGATGTTACAAACACTTGACCATGTATCTAAACTCTTATGTATTTTTTATTAATCAAACCTAACCTGGTCTTACTCCAAACATGAGAAAAACAATGTTAGCAAACCTGCAGCCTTCAAAATAATTAGAGACTTCATAGATGTCAGAGAGTGTAGTACAGGTTTGTATAATGCAGTAAAATACAAACTTTTTTTCAAAAAGGAACATATTTTGAGCTTTTTGAACACACATTTGCTTTCACCCTTGTATACTCTTTTTCTGTAAAGATGAGCTGACTCTTAACTGTCTTAAAGAAATAAAAAGGAAAACCACCAAATATCTTATTCTTGAACTGGTTTTGCCTAAGAAAATTCAGAATAGGAAGGCAATTTTCAAAAAATTCTAAGTACCTGGATGCCCTTTTTAAGTTAAATTTTCTTATCATCCAGAATGATAGCATGAGAAAAGGAAAGGACCTGGAGTATGATACATTTTTTTCTGCATTAAAATAGCAAGAAACATCCTGGACAGGCGCCTCCATTTACAGAGCACAGGCACCTGCAGTTCTGTAAWGCTTCTGTCTGGAATAACTCTACTGACACCAAGCTGAAACATGGGCACTGAGCTGAAAGCAGGACACCCCTGTCCTACARTCCCCTGTTGTACACAACTTCCATGGAAAAGACCTTTAGTAATGTCAGAAATTCCCTCAGTGACCTCAGACAGGGTGATGGCCTTACTGCACTGTGTGCTGAACATCCATACAATGAGACATCCATCCTTAATTCATTTTAAGTGCTGTTTTAATTTCCCAATGATTATCTGATTGAACTATACTTTTCAGGCCTAATCTTCTATCAACACAGSTTAACCTGTGATATTTCAGCAAAACAGAGAAGAGGAGGCCACAAAGCTGGTTAACTCCAAGGCGTATTCAGCTTGTAAAAGTTCAGATTTAACATGCAGCCAGTTCCTTCTTGCACAATGTTTGCTTGGCTTACTAAAAAAAAGATAATTTTAATAGCATTACAATTACAAGCCGATTATAGTTCACTTTCCCACACCAAGTTTTTGCSCTATTTTTTTTATTGTCTTTTTCTTTTCCCTCCTTTTCAAGTTCTCACCAGTGTGGCCTTTCCTACAAATCAACAAAAGCACAGTGAAAGTCTGTCCATGCTGTGCAAGGGAGAGCCACAGCACTGTGATGTGGCTCTGCTAGGACACCAAGTGCTGCACATGTGTGACAGGGATGTGTGTATGGATACAGCTGCTAGAACTTGTCTTGAACACACTGAAATACTTGACCCTAGTGTCCTGAGTGAAGTGGCTGCTTTTCTCAGAAGTCTGTGCAAGTAATATGTGTGTCAAAAGAAGCAGTTTAACCTTTTGCCCAGGACCACAAAGCACCATAACCCACCTTGTGTCCACATAAATATCAGCAGATCACCAAACAGTCCAGCTTCCCTCCATAAAATATTTGTTCGTCACTTGAGAGTCAACTCTTCACCTTAGGTTGTTAAAAACTGTACTTGGGAGGTCAAATCRAGAAGTTTCCTCAATCATCTCCCAGCCTTAGAAACTCCCTGTTTCACATGCAGAAGTTAACTAGCTGGTTTTGCAGCTTCTTATTTTGAAAAAGCAAGGGGAAAGAAAAAACAAAACAAAACAAAACAAAAAAAAAACAAAAAAACAAGACAAGAATAACAATCCTCACTCTCTAACAATGCTCTCTCTTTGTTACCCACAAATGGCTCTGCAAGGAAGAGCCTGTTTTTCCCTCTCTCATCACTGTGCACACCCCCACTAAGGATGACAAGGGATTTGCTGATTTTTAAAAGTTCTCAGAAGGCTTCCCTGGCTCTCTGGTACCATCACATTGACAGCATTACCGAGCAGCAACACCCAAAACCTGGCTGAGGGGCTGCAAAGGGAGAGTGTGAATTCAGCCAGGGCTGCTCAGAGCTAATGGTCTGGAGCAGTGAGGACATGGCTACAGCCCTGGAATCACAGAATGGYTTGGGTTGGAAAGGACCTTACAGATCATCATTTCCAGCCCCCTGCCATGGGCAGGAACACCTTCCACTATCCCAGGTTGCTCAAAGCCCCATTCAGCCTGGCCTTGAACCCTTCCAGGGATGGGGCATCCCCTTCTCTGGGTAACYTRTGCCAGTGCCTCACCMCCCTCGAGGGAAAGAATGTTTTCCTAATAATTGATCTCAAACCCACCCTCCCCCAGGTTCATGCCATTYCCMCTTGTCCTGTCACYACATGCCCTTGTGARAAGTCCCTCTCCAGCTCCCTTACAGTCCCCTTTAGGTACTGAAAGCCTGCAATAAGATCTCTCAGAGCCTCCTCCAGGTTCAACAACACAAATTCTCTCAGTTTGTCTTTACAAGAAAGGTGTTCCARCTCTCTGTCTTCCTGGCCTCCTCTGGATTTGCACCAAGAAATCCACGTCCTTCTCAACTTAGGGCCTCAGAGGAGTCAGGAGAACCTCAAATGAATGCTCTCCTGGTGCCTGTGCATCCTCCACCCACAGCCAAGTTTGGCAGTATATTAAACACACTTCAAAATCCCAGGTTATTCAGCCTGCACTCATTGGTGTGATGTAGGTGCAGACAAAACATGGACCAAGGCAGAGCCCTTGTGGTGGCCAGATGGGCACAGTTGTGGGTGTGGCAGCAGCCAGCACTGACGAGGCACTGGGGGAAGGTGGGGTACCAAACTGGGGTTTGTGGCTTTTCTAGCTTTTTTAAAACTATTTTTAAAATATAAAGAGGGAATAAAGCCCCATGAGAATGCCTTTTGCACAATTGCCTACTAATTGCCTCACTGCAGCAGTTTGGAGGCATTAATGCTCATGCCACACTTTCCAGCTGTAAGATTAATCCTAGTGACAGACTGGTGGGGCAAGTCCAGGTAATCTCTGTTCTGCAGACTGAAGGAGAGGTTAAAAGGAAACCATCAATTTTAAAAATGCCTCTTTGGTCTGGAAAATATGGCATTATTCTAGTAATATTTAGTGTACCTTAATTACCATGCATCTAAGAGTCGAAAGGGAAGAATACAGGGGCTTTCAACAGTTTGGGCTTTGTTTAAGGATTTGTGTCATCAAAAAATCTACATTCTCAAACATAAATGTATATGTGTATTTTGTAAATAACACACAAAATTATGTGAAGTTGTACAATTTCTGACTTCCATGGTTGGTATAGATCACCTCTACACCACTCTGACTCTGGTGCTGAGAGAACCCTGTGAGCTTGGACCACCTTCTCATCCATCTGTCCTCACCACAGGAGGAGCAGTTCCAGCCCAGATGGACTCACGTGGGGGCTGCCAGTGAGGGGTTCTTTCAGAATGTCCAAATCTGGTCCAAATGTCACGCTTGAAACCAAGCAGCTCAACAGCAGGTGGGACTGGGCATGTGACACTGGGACCAAAGCCTGGGACCTGGCCCCCATTCAGGASCACCTTCTGCAGTGATCTGGTAGCTACACACCACGTTCAAAGTGCTGAGCCCTCTGTAGTGCTTCCAAAGTGTCACAGACAGTGTCCCAGTTTCAAAGAAAACTTCTGGTGATCAAAGTATTTGAACACATTTTCGCCAGAGAGCATTCAAAATGCATGACTCAGGTGCCAAGCAGCTCTGCAGCTGCCTCAAAAATCAGAGCAGCTGCTCCAGCTTCCCCAGCACACGTGATGGGTGGGGACACCCTTTGTTCACTGGCTGCATAGCAGATTTTTAAACYATTATATTATATTTTTCCTACAAACACAATACGTTAAAACTCATATTTTCTTTTAGATATGCTAATAACATGGCGCCAAGATCTGAGCTTTCTTCCAAAAAAAAGGCAAAACCCTCAAAAATATCATAAGATTCAAGTAAAAATTTTTATAACGTGATAGTTTATGAACAACATGCTACAGAGAAGATTGCCAGGAAAATAAGCCTAAATTTACTTATCGTAACTTCAATCCATCAACCTCAACAGGTTTATTTTGGATTTAGAACACAAGGTTCTGACCYCACATTTTTAATACTTTTTGACCATCATGAACAATGCATCTACCCCTGAGAACATGAAAACATGAAAACTATAAATAAATGCTGCACTTTGTTACAGCATGTAATTCTTGCCATGTTTCCTTCTCACTAAATTTAGTGAAAACATCTGCAGAATTTGTGTCATGGTAAAACAATGGAAAACTTGCAGGTGAACCAGCCCAGGGAGGTGGGAAAGAAAATATAAACAGAAAGGAATGTATCATGTAACACCAGGTGCAAAACAATCTCACACTACCTGAGCATAAGATGAGGGAGAGGAGGTGAGAGACAGGAAGGGTGAGAGGGAGAAAAGGGAGGAGTTTCTAACAAAATGTTCACAGCCACAAGTGTCATTAATGAGCAGATCCTCTCTGACAGTAGAGGACTCCAACTTCAAATCACAAAAAGCACAGAGCAGCTGCAAGGATGCACACAGGAGGAGAATTTGGGCCATTATTTGCTACCCTACTAAATTAATGAAGGAAGAGGYTATCAGCAGTGTAGATTTATGCAAATGGAATGCAAGGAGCAGTTCTCACAACATCCCCCTTGTTTCCATGAACAAACTGACAGCCAGGTACATTTTCAGGTGCCTTTTCTRGAGCAGCCCTGCCCCGTGCAGCAAGATGAGCCACTGCAGGGATGGTGGCACTGACCTTCTCTCCCCTGTTCCTTCCCACCTGCACAGGAGGCAGCACTAAATCCAGTACACACAAACGGTTTTATTCACAGCAGGCAGGAGTATTTCCTTTCAAAAGTTCACATSCTACCAAGCTGAAAGTGTTTAAACCATATATTCTCCAAATAAACCCTGAAGCAGCCTGRCAGTGAAGAGCTGTAAACAAGTGAAACCACCCCATTCTTTGGTCCCAAATGTCACTTTGTGTCCAATACTGATCATTAATCTCTGAAATTAGCCCTCATTGTGCTCGTACTGGATGGACACTAATGCTGCAGGATTATTTGGAAGGACAGCACTTATTCACATCTACAGCAACAGGGTTAAGGATCAGGCAGGCAGACTGGGGTTGGTGCACAGGCGAGGGCTCTGCCTGTGCTCAGGGCAAGCACARCACACGAGTGTCCCAGGACAGGGAGGTCACAGCTGAGTGACAAAGAGCTCCAGTGCAGTCACTTCCATCTCAAGAGTCTCAGTCACAGCTTAACAAAACCACCACRCTGTCTGAAATCAGCTCCTGAGAGTGAACACATCATTCCTCCCCAAAAAGAAATCCCARTAATCTCAGGTTTCCTCATGTCTCACTTTAATGTACAAACATAGCAAAAAGTCACAAATTACTGAGCTGGCAAAGCATGCAAGAGTGAAACATGKCCATGAGCAATGGTTTCCTGAAGACTGGCTGAAATCTCAGAATGGCTTTGAAGATGAGCCTAAAAATGAGCAAGGCAAAGGGAGCTGCCCTCAGGATGCACCTGGGAATTATTTACTGGAGAAATGACAGTGTCTTGGAAAAGCTGACCCAAAGCAACACGCAAATAAGGAATCAGTTGCAAGGAGGTGAGGCCACACCATGCCTGAGGCTTACCAAAACCATCTTTCAGAGGAGTCAGAGCACTTTCTCCATTTACAACACATCAGGGCAAAGATTTTTAGTAAGTAAAAACTTACAATACACAGTGAAGTTGTGGGGGACATCAAAATATTTCGTACTCCCCAGTTGAAGATTGAAAAAGTCTAGGAATCTTAGAAGATTTATTTTTACCATCTGAAAAAAAAATTCTTTGATTTTGTATTCTGAAGTGGTGTATTCCTTTTGAACTTGATCTGAATAAAAAAATTTAAAAAAAGAATGAAAACACTAAAACAYGGTTAGACAGCCCTGAAGATTAATGAAGCTTTTGTTTGGATGGGGAGGGGCTTCTTTTGGCTGTTCTGAAAGTCTGGGTTTTTTTGTTTTGCTGAGAAAGAAAGAAACCTCTCTCAAAATAATCTGTTTCAGGTTCAGCTGAATTTTTAACACACCAGTGAGGTCACATCTCGAGTGCTGTGTCCAGTTCTGGGCCACTCAATTCCAGATGGACACTGAGGTGCTGGAGCAAGTCCAGAGAARGAACAAGACAGGTGAAGGGTCTGGAGCCCAAGTCGTGTGAGGAGACTGAGGCTGAGGGAGCTGWGGRTGTTTAGCCTGGAAAAGAGGAGGCTCAGGAGTGACRTTGTCACTCTACACCCCCCTGAAAGGAGACCGTGGCCAGGAGGGGATTGGTCTCTGGTGCAAATGGCAACAGGATGAGAGCCTGAAACTATGGTTGGGGAGGTTTAAGTTGGATATTAGAAGGAATTTCCTCACAGAAAGGGTGATTAGACACTGGAATGGGCTGCCCAGGGAGGTGGTGGAGCGATCATCCCTGAAGGTGTTAAAGGAAAAACTGGATGTGGTGCTTGGTGCCATGATCTGCTTGGTGTTCAGTCACAGGGTGGACCTGTTGATCTCAGAGGTCTTTTCCAACCAAACTGATTCTGTAAATTGAGGTTTCACTGCTTCTTTTTTTTTTTTCTGCTTCACTACAAGAGGAGAATCACATTCAGTCTTCTGCGCGGAGTCCTATGCTTTTTCTTACTTTTTTTTTTTTTTTTTGAGAGAATTCATTCAAACTTCATGTTTAAATCAGTGAGTTCTGAGTGCAGAATGCAGTGTGGCTGTGGACACTGTGAGCAACCTCATCCTCTCATCTACTGAGCTCAGTTTGCTGTATGTCCACTCCTCCAAAAACTGCCAGTTGTTAGATGAGCCCAGTTCACTGGTGAAACCTGAAGCCAGGGCAAGGGCAAGGAACCAAGCTTGCCATCTCCCCAAGGCTCCAGCAAAGCCCAGCCAAGAAACACAGGGACCAGAAGGAAGTGTCTGGGAGCTGCAAGGAAAATCAMGAGCAATAGGAAATCAGTCACACAAGGGGTAGGTGAAAGGACACAGCACCTGGAGTATGTGAGACTCATGACAAAAGGAGGATCTCGTAAAACAATGATACCATTTGTACCACAGTTGTTGTAAAAAGATGTTGGAGTTCAGTGGCATTTATTTTCCACCACTAAATGCAACAGCCAGCGGAGTGAGAAGTGATAAATCTGACACAGACTCATTCCCACTTGACATCCCCTCCAAAATCTAAATGTCCCCACTGCAATGGTGGTGCCTGSTGGAGAGGCCCCCTCAGGGTGCCAGAGAAGGCTGAAAGCTCTGAATTCAACAACAAGGGTTATGTTTGCTGCAAGACACCAAGCTGTGGCTGTTGCGTGTTCAAAGAAAGGCACAGGGGATTATTTTCTGGAAGAGGGGAGAGAAAAAATGCAGTGAAGCTGTGATTTCACTGAGATCACTGCAGCAGAACCTGCACTTCAACACCTTGGCAGCTCAGGCCAGAGTAAATCATATAACTGATGTCTTGTTTCAAGAGAATATAAAAGGGGCTTTTGTCAGGGATAACAACAGGATGGAGCTTTTTCCCTTCTGTGCTTTATGAACAAGATATCCACCAGTTTCCTTGGTGTTTGGATCAGGCCTGGGGACAGCTCGACCACCCTGCTCAAGGACACACTTGGGGCTGCTCCTTCCTAGTGACACACAGCCACCCTGCACTTTCCAAATCTGTTTTACAACATCAGCCACAACAGAGACTGCTCTCATACACATGGAATTAATAATCATCCATTTAATCCTGCTAATTATTTACACATCTTAAGGTGAGGACAGCCCCAGGGGAATTACACACTTCACAATCAGTTTGCTTTGCTACTTCAATGAATGACAAAAAGCTTGTCTGAAGTAGAAACAGATGGATTACWAAGTCTGGTCTTTGGAAGAGAAGGGAGAAAATGACAATATTGACATTTTCAAATTCTGGATTTACCACCCAACTCTGTCAGGGACTTCTATAGCCTGGAGCAAGTGGACAYACAGTCCAAGCCCCTCTGAGCTAAACAGCAGCACAAATACCCACTTCCACCCACTTCTGCCTTGTCAGCTGAGACAGCAAATGCTTTAGGCAGAAAACATCTCCTTTGTGCTCGGCATCACTCAAAGCCTGCCACCGCCACCACCACCCCAAGTTCGGGCTGCATCCACACCTCCCACTTACCAGCCACCACCTGTAGCTGTCCTCTGGGATCAAGGCATTTTGTGAGGTCAGGAAAGGTTGCATAGTTGAGTTAAATCTCTGGTCGAACCAGAGGGAATGTCCCAGCTCCGAAATGCACGTGTGACAGCTGCAAGGTCTCYTGGGGTACTTGAAGAGTTTCTGGACGTGCTCTGAGAACTGCACGACGAGGTGTCGGGGGTCCCAGGTGGCCGTGGTCACCTGGTGGGTGTAGTTGAGCAGGAAGGAYGTCACTGTGATGAGCAGAAAGGCGAAGGTGAACATTTTCACATTCCTCCTCCGTACCACCAACATCTTTCCCACTCGGCTTCTGCCACCGCCGCTGGCCAAAACAACGCAGGGTGGGACGTAAGGCAGGAAGGAAAGGCTGCAGCAGATCCCTGCCAGTTACCAGCCMAGGCTCAGGGTGACTCCACTACCTTCAGCCATATGGGAGAAGCTTCATCTACCCCAAATGGGCTTAGAAAAGCACAAGCTGGGTATTTCCTTCCACCTTCTCACAGTGCTTCCAAGTTCCTTCCCCCTGTGTCCTGTTGCTAGCCTCTCCTGAYGAGAGTTTACTGAGCACAGACCCTYGTCCTTCAGTGCACCGRAATATTTAGAGGGGAGCAATAATCAGTGTTAAAATTCAGGTTTTGTATGCGAGAAGAAGCCATATATTAAAACAAGCAAATTGCAGGAAGAATTGTATTCTTTTTCTTGGAAATTAGTTCTTGAGGAACTGGATCATCTGTGGGTGTACATTCCATCAGAGAGACGTGCTTTGATATCCATTTAAGCCACGGAGAGAAGTCTGCAACCTAGAGATACACAAACAAAAAAAAAAAAAGAAAGAAAAACCGTCAAATTGTCATTTTGTTTCTTGCATTCCTCCCAACCTAGTTTCTCTGCTTTTCTCTCCCTGTCCCAGAACTTCTGATCAGTTCAGAGCCSCAGACAGAGCAGCCCTGGCTTCCAGCACTGCCGCGGTATTTGCATACTGAGAAGTTTGAGGGTGAAATTTCAGAAAGGGCAGAGCATCGACCTGTGGACATTGAGTGTCTTTCCATGGAATCGGCCTCCTCTCTGTGCCCGGCCTTATTTGAATTACAGTTTGCAGCTATTTGAATGACAATGACTCACCTCCCTCCTTCAGGCTGACCTTGATAGGCACAAGATACCAGCAAAGTATTCACAACTCAGAGCAGCTGAACAAAAAGCTCCGGGCAAAGGAGGGAGGAGCAGGATAGGGAGGAAGATGAATCAGTTCTTTTCTCTTTCTTCCCCCAGCCAGCTTAATTTCTTAAGGATTGGATTTGTGATTAGAGAAAGCAAGGCAAAACAGCTCACATGTCCTGGGACGAGGAGAGGAAATCGAAGTATAAATGGCCTTTGTTTCACATGGAAAAWGGCTCTTTTTTTCTGTCAAGGAAAGGTAGGTGATAGCAGCCTGACCCCAGCCTAGGCAGAGAGGGAGGGAGCTGCTTTGGAGGTACAGAGAGACCCAGAGCTGCTCTCTTTCCTCTCCTGTTTTCCCCTGCCTGGCAGCAGTGATTTAAACAAGTTTTTAAAAGTTTTCATTCCACATCCTTTTTGTGAGAAGGCYATTGTGGGACTGGCATTGTTTTGTGGGAAGAAAAACACGTTGTTTATAAAACTTTAGATGTTTACAAAAAGTCCCGAAAGTGCCATTGCTTAAATAACACTCTGTTTTGTTTTGTTTTAGTTTTGTTTTTTTAAAAGGTAGGGAAAAAATCAAAGAAGCGACTCTGTCAGAATATGTGCAATTTATGAACAAGTGAAAGCCCAGCGAGAGAAGTCTCATTCGCCGTTCAGCTGCAGTTTTCAGGCCAGCAAAGAGCAAAATTTCAACTGTTACCATTAAACCCCAGCATTTCAACCCATCCTGTGCATGACACTGATGCAGAGCCCCCTCACTGCATCATCCAAAATTTGATGTTTATCCAGACAGGAGGGAGGTGCAGCTGCAGCATCCCAGCTTTGCTGCTGGCTCCTCTCCTGGGGATCTGTGAGGAGCTGCCCCTGGCCAAGCTGCTGTTCCAAGGGGCTGGACATGGCAYCTTGGAAACAGCACAAGCTTGGATTTTTGAGGTGGTGTGTAAATATTTGCAGGTCTCATAAAGCCAAATCCCAAGACAGGAGCCTCAGACCTCACTTTGCAGCCTTTGCCCCAGGTTTGTCCTGCTCAGCACGTGATGGGCAGTGTGTGCCCCTCAATTAGCTGCTGTTTGCCAAATGCCTCCAGATTTATTTTAAGTCTGGCCCCTGCACATGCATTTATAGGAGCTCAAGGGCTGACAAGTGGGTCAGGCTGGATAACAAAGAGCTTTATTAACCCCGTCTGCTCGGGCTCCTGGCACCAGTAAATCACAGAGCACCAGGGAACCATCCTGCTCTCACTTTAATGTTTTAGAGGGAACCAAACCAGAAATCTTCAGATGTAAAATTTTATCCCCTGGTAAAATTCAGGAATCCCAGCCTGAGGGGTGATGGGGATGCTGCCACTGTGCCTTGGAGAGTTAGAAAGGGAGCTCAGGAGAACAGCCCCTGTRCACAGCCCATCCACACCAGCTGCTCTCTGCACCGTGGAGCAGCCCCAAACACATTTGCTTTCCTAGCCTGGATGCAGTTGTCAGTCTAAACAAAAACACAGCCTCTAACAACCCTGAAAACATGCCGGATCCCAGAAGCAAATTGATTTTCCATTTATGGAGGGGATMATTCAAGAGCTGTGATGCTGGCGGGTCAGCCCCCCACTGCTGCCTGGCCAAGTCAGTATTTGTAAACACGGCTCCTGCTCTTCTGTTGTATTTTAAAGAGGCRGAGGGAGGGGGATTATCCAGCCTTTCTTGGAAAAGCCTGTAAAATGGAGTATTGTTGATAAAACAGTTCTTGCCTCCAAAAAAAACACACATTTCACCAATTTATTTATTTATTTATTTAGKTTTAACTCAGCTAAGATTAAATTTACATTTATAACTCAGGGAAGAAAAAACCCAAATCAGGGTTTACACAGTGGACCACAATGTCTTCAATGTCATCCTATCTTTTACAGATGTGATGGGAAGATGAGAAACCAGAGCTCCCAAGGCCCTTTTCCCATGTGGATATAAGCACTGGATACTCTATTTTAATTCTTACTACTTAGTTTTCTAGGAACGTTCATGCTTCCTATGAATACTTATGATAGAAATATTCATACAAATGTATAGCTGACAGAAATGCTCCAAGGACTATATTTTTGAGAAAGACTGAAACGAATGTAAAAACCCTTTTTTGAGTTCAGTGTGACTTGGACTTTTTTTTCCATTCTTAGAACACCTGGAACAGACATTGCTGCTTTTAATCTTCACAGCATCTTGCACCACATCTCAGTCTGTCYCTGTGTCCCCCTCTGCTCACACAAGATTCATAAATCCTTGCAAAAGTATTTCCACAGGATTCACCAAGGTGCTGGGAAGAGGAAGGTCAGGGACTGGAGTGGGAAATCACGCAGGGACAGCAACCCCCGGCTGGTGGGAATGTTCTACCTCTGGATACTATTTGAGATTGTTAAATTAAGCCACTACAAATGARCAGCACAACACCAGCMATGGTCCTTATGACCATCCCTCAGSATGACCCTSGCWTCAGCACATCTGTGATCAGGCTATTTTGGCCTCAGACCCACAAACAATTTCTGGGGACTTAAGGTAGGGAGATTTAGTGCCCAGCCCTCCCCCAGTTACAGTCCCCTGAGAGATAAACAGAGCTTAATACAGCATCCCTGCTGCTGTGCCTGTGGGCAGAGATCCCAGCTCAGCCCAGAAAGCAGCAGGTTAAGCTACCTTAAGTGATTGGCTGCTTAAGGTGTTATTTCTGGCTGGATTTCACCTGCTACCTTCCCAYTGCCCCTTTTCTATGGATCCCACTGTCCCCATCTGAGTGTGACACCTTTGTACACCCCAGGACAGCTCATTTATGCTGATAATACCCAGGGATGTGCAGTGCAGGAAAAATGCAAAAGGTCATGTAGCAGGAAGACCAGAGAGGCAGGTTCAGAAGAAAGGTCAGGTTCCTCCAAACTCTGTCCTGATCATAGAATTGGGTCCAGTGTGATTAAATGGTCATAAATGAGCGCTGAGATTAATCTTCTGTCTGTATTTTACATCACAAACGATACCAGGATCAATTGTGATTGTCTTCATTGTCTTCTCATGTTTTAGAGAGAAGGAACAAAAAGAGCATTTTTCATTTTTTTGTTTTTTGTTTTTTTTTTTCTCCTCCAAGGTAGATTTTATTTGCATAGTAAACTCACAATCTGAAGAATGTCCCTGGTCCCTTGCCARTCTGGTAATTAACAAAGATAAAAACACCTCGGTTCAATGGATTAATACACAGCAATTCTTAACATCTTCAGGATTTTTTTTTTTTATAAATCCACTTAAAAACACCGAGTGTTCTCACTGCATTTGTCAGGTTCTCTGACAAAAGCTCATCTGCACACCCACAAAGGAGCACAGAAAGAAAAGGGGAACCTAAATAATGCCCTGCTCCAGCTGTTCCCAGGACCATCCCAGGAGCCATCAACCCATCCAAGTCTGCACCAGCCCAAAGGAGCCCGGGGGCACAAGGGAGGGTGGGAACCTGAAACAAGGGCTGGGAGAAGGGACACCCTGCCTGGAACCCTCCCAGGGCTGGCCCTGCACAGCCCCAGCCTCAGGCATGGAACTCACCCAGGTGAGTCAACCCTGCCTTTGGGACTGTGTTACTGCCTGGGGCATGGGACAGTTCATGGGGTGCAGCTTATGGGGTGCAGCTTATGGGGCATTTGGGCATTACACAAGATCTGTGTGGTCAGCCACGCAATATTAGCACAGTGGTTAATTTTTTAATTTCTTTTAATAGATGGACCTTGAATAAAACGCATGAAGAAAATAATAATTACAAAACATTGAGAAAAAAAAAATCACCATACCAAAAATCACTCATCCCCCTACATTGCAAATGTCCCAGTACATTGGTGTTTGGCCCCTTTCTTTCCTAGCAAAGAAGTGCTTTGTACCAGCACCACATTGAGGAGATCTTTGTTAGCTCATGTTAGATGGTGATGGTTCAGGATCCAACTTTTTTGGTCTGTAACTCATCTTAAAACATTAAAACCCTGGTGAGAAATGAACTCTCCAGTGTGAAGCCACCAGCGTTTCTCAGACACAGCACTTCAGGTGGCAGAGGAGCACAAAGGCCACAGGGAACAGCAGCACAGAGACACTGCCAACACTCCATCCAGGGCCTGAGCAGCTCAAAGGTCCCAAAATCCTTTAGACTCAAAACCCACACATCCACCTGCCCTGTCAGAATCTGGGACAGGACAGTGTGACCTGCTGCAGCTCTCTCATGACTRATGGTGGCCTGAGACATCCCACAGGATCTTACAGCTGGAAACTCCACACCTCAAGGAGTAAGTTCAAGATTTGCTGCGATTTTGACTTCAAGGGACTGTGCTGAGCTAAAGGCCTCGGCAGCAGAACTGCAAGTGCCCGTTTTCAGAAGAACAGCTCAGATCCCTGCCCTGCAAAACCTACAGAGATGAAGCAGTTTCTCTCTCTCTTATATTGTTATAAATTTGGCAACACTGACAGTACATCCCTAAGCATCCTTTCTGCCATTTGGGGACTTTTTTCCTCTCCACACTTCTTGTCAGTAACTATTCGAGCAAGCCTTGGTCTCAAAGCCCTGGCCTGGGAGAAGATGGGAGGTTAAATCTTTTCTTACTGTGCCCACAAGGGCCCAGAGCAGCCTTGAAAGATGTCGTTCTAGC